AGGGTGAACAACAGTGGTGTGACACCCTGGTCACACCAGAACCAAGGCCCTCATTCTTCCAGTTGCCAGGAGTGAGAATGGATGATGAGAATTACTTTTGATGGCATGAGCCGCCCCACCTACAGTATGTCCCACATCCACTGTTTGATCACAGCAGGGGTGCAAAAGGCCCAGGGCCCTTCCTCAATTCCAGGACAACTCTGAAGGCCATCCCAGCTCTGTCACAACTACCTTGCCATTCAATCATCCAGCCCAATTTGACTGCCTTCAGTTTCCTACACGTGTTTTTACTAAAGATGTTCTTGCATGAAGTGACACACAAATCTCCAGCTCAGAGTGTTTCCTGGGGAAGCTTATCTAAACAACTGCTGTTGGAAAGATTGGGATTTTAACAAGTGAACAGTCAGATACGCCCACAGATTTCTCAGTAGAACATTGCTCGACTTCCTCTCTCTGAGGTCAGGTTCCCTGAGTAGAACCTGAGGTGAGGATTCTCATACAAGTGACTTATTAAGGGAATGTTCTCTGAGAGGCACGGGTCAGGCAATGAGAGTGGCTGATTAGGGAGGGAGAAGAAGTTAGACACACAGATGTGGGTTGAGATGTGGGCAATGCCCCAGAGAAACATGCAAACACTTACTAGGCATTTAGTAGCCAGTTCCTATGCCAGCCTTGTGAGGGACAGGGGGGGGACCTCGGTCCGTCCTAGTATAGACATGACTTTTTTTTTTTAATTATGTTATGTTAATCACCGTACATTACATCATTAGTTTTTGGAGTAGTGTTCCATGATTCATTGTTTGTGTATAACACCCAGTGCTCCATGCAGAACGTGCCCTCCTTAATACCCAACACCAGGCTAACCAATCCCCCACCCCCTCCCCCTAGAACCCTCTGTTTGTTTTTCAGAGTCCATAGTCTCTTAGACATGACTCTTAAGTTTAATATTATTTACAAAGGAAGCCAGAGTTCAGAATATTCTTAAAGGTACACATGGAAGCTGCATTTAACCAAACAGAATAAAAGAGCCTTCACCTATGTCATTAGTCTTTGGAGTTCTATTACCAAACTGAAAATTTCAGGCAAAGCAGCTTTATAACCCCTTCCTCTCAAAACCTCAGTTTGCCTAGTCCCTAAAAATAGCATTTAACTAAATGCTAACTCTGAGAAATAACCACACAAAATTAAGGACAAATTTTAAGAAAAAAAGTTACTTAAATGTATCAACCAAGAGGAGATTCTTTTTAGTTACAAGTCTCCATGTGAAAGATTTAGGGCAAAAAGGAATTCTTGAGGTAGACCTAATTAAAGTTCTTATCAAATGTGGTGTATATGCAATTTTCCGATTCCTTTGACAGTTCATTAAGAAGTTTCAGAGAACTTCAAGGTCACGATTCTCTTCTATCTTTGTAGACACCTTTCTTCAGGATTGAAATGTGAGGATTTAAAGTGATATTCAAATGTGGGCCAGTACAGGGACAGCAGACTTCTATGTTTTACCAAGATTAACATTTTAGAATATTTTATATATACTTTTCATTAAGATCTAAAATGTTTTATGAAAGAAAAATGTTCATAGGAAACCCAGCCAGTTGAGTTTTTTTCCTTCAGAACTACTAAAGGCACCAAGGATTTCCAGTAAATTAATGAGAGTATCAGGGAAGGTTTTCGATTTGTGTTCTGGAAGGTGCATTTCCTCCTCAGCAGCCCTGAGTGCATTAGAATATTCCCTACTGGAATAACAGCTTCAGTCTGGTATCTTCTACAGAGGGCTCATGGTGCCTTGCTGGGGGTCCAGGAGAAGCAGGTTAGAAATCCTGATACTCACCATCCTGAGGTTCCTCTCTGACCTCCCTGTCAGTGGGGGTGAGAATAAGAGATTATGTATTTCCTCATTATTGGTGGTGATGGTTAGGAGGCGTGGGAGGGAGGATGAGGAGAGCTACTGTTTACCAAGAAGTCAGACACCTACATGTTTTGTATGAGCTGAATTTGATACTCATTATAACGTCAGGAGGTAGAAACTGATTATTCCTAGTTTTACAAATGAGGAAACTGAGGCTGAGGGCAGTTAAGCAATTCACACAAATAAGATCATACAACTGGGAAGTGGCGCTCTGACTCCACAGCCTGCACTTGTAGTCACTGCCTCGCCATTGATACTATGCTTCTCAGGGACCTTTCACAAGTAAAACCAATTGAGAATGTGCAAAAGAGAGTTGAAATAGTCACAAAGGTGAGGCTAGGTTTCAAGATATCCATCTCTACAGCAATGGCTTCTTTCTGCTGCTTCTCCCTTCATTCCTCAGTCCTCAGCAGAAGCTGTCTCTGGACTTTCCATAACTCCTCCCTCTCCCTCCCCCATGTCCCCAATCCAGTCTCCATGGCAACCAGAGTGAGTATCCCAAAGAATAAATCTGTCCCCACTGCTTTTCTGTTGTAAATGCTCAAAAGCACCCCACGGTTTTAGGATGAAGCACACATCCTTTGGGCATAAACAAACTCTCCTGCCATGCCCAGCTCCTTTTTCATCAGTGGTGTGCTGCACACCGGTCACACCCACGTCAAGCAGACTTCGATATTTTGAGGGATTTTGAGAGAAGTCTTGAGACTTTTGTAAATCCACTAATTACTAAATACTCCTATATCAATTTTCCCATAAATTTTGCCAGGGCATAATCAGATATAAAATTGAAAATGAAGTTGCAGTCTGAAATGGCAAGTCCAGTGGATGAGGAAAACCACAACACTCATGGGGACAGCATGGAAATACCTGGCCTCTTTGTAGGCCCAGAGAAGCACAAAGCTAGGCTGATGCTCTCTGTGGGGGGAGGGGGGGAGGGGATAAAGGGGAGGGAAGAACAGAGGGGGAGAGGCGGGTTCTGAAGAATGGGCAAGTAGCAAAATCATCCTTGGGATTGTAGTGTTTTCCCTGCCATGAGGAAACCATACCAATGGTGGGCTTAGCCCTTAGCCGGGCTGAGCTCATTTGAAAAGAAGCAAGGGTCTGTGAGAAGCCAAGCAGAAGAGGGAGCAAAGGGAGAACCACAGGTCCTACACAATATGCAAAATTAAACTAAATGGACACCTGTTCATAATTTACAATTACTATTTGATTTTCATAGTCAACAGCAATACAATGACTAGAAAGTGTGTATTTTAAAGGACAATATGGAGCCATTTTATTTTCAGCATTTTAATTGTGTAGGGGAGGAAACATTTTTCCTTCTACCGTTTACGGTCTTCCAGGTGGTTTAAGAATTAAATTGACATGAGACAGATTAACAGAGAAAACAAGACAAAGCCCAAGGTTTACTACATGCACACGGAGGCCCAATAATGAGGTGAAGACCTAAAGAAACATCCCAGGGCGCCTGGGTAGCTCAGTCGGTTAAGTGTCTGCCTTTGGCTCAAGTCATGATCCCAGGGTCCTGGGATGGAGTCCCGCATCAGGCTCCCTGCTCAGCGGAGAGCCTGCTTCTCTGCCGCTCCCCCTGCTTGTGCCCGCTCTCTCTCTCTGTCAAATGAATAAATAAAATCTTTAAGAAAAATAAAGAAACAACCCAGGCAGGCAGTTTTTATACTTTTTAGAGAAAGGGACCATAAGTCTGTGAGGAATTGATAGGACAAAGAAAACTTAACTTTGGGAGCTTCCATTAGTAAGGAATTCTAAACAGAATTTGGGCTGGGGGAGTAAATTAGTAAAACATAACAAGGGTTGTTTATATAGACTTCTTGGGTCTCAATTCCCCACCTATGGTGATAAGGAGGTCTCCTTATCTCCTGCTACAAGGAGGGCACCTTTCACATGGGAGACTGATTTCTTGCTTTCAGGAGACAAACGCAGGGGAGTGGGGGGTCAGATTGTTTTTTCACTGGCTGTTTCTTAAGCGACTCTTACATTTTGGGGTGGCCTGCCCTTGGCATGTGCGACTTCAAGCTTAGCCATCCTCTTCTGGAAACTTGGATTTGTCAGTCCTTGGAATTTGACATTTAAATATGCTGAAATACTACTTTTCATTTGGCTTTGGAAGAAAATCTTAAATTCTAGAACGTATAAAACTAACACCAACTTGAACCATTAGTCTTGAAACTCTGAGTGTTCCTCTTTGTACTTATTTCTACAAAATGTTTCCAAGAAAATAAGTAACAACTAAACAGTACATTTTGTACTAGTGAGTTACTCCATCCTGCTGGCGAATCTTTCAGCCAGTTGAGTTCTATTTTCCCTTATTATCTTTTTCTGAGCCTCCCTTCAAACTTGTTTTCCAATTGCTCCATATTAGGAAATACAAGGAAAGTGCTCACAACTTTAGTAGGCCTAAGTGTTGGCACATGTTTACCTTGTACTCTATATTGACTTTTTGATATAGATTTTGAGCAACACTTTGTTTTCCAGATTTTAGGAGAGAACTATTCTTTCCTTTTTTTACTTCAAAAATAGTTGGGAAGCCAAAGTTGGTAATTTGCTCTTTTTTTGCTTATTCCCAATTTATCAAACGACTGGGACTCTTGCTTTCATTAATTTTAATCTATTTTTTAATGTCTGTAACAGAGCTATGGATAAAATGTAAAGCAAATGTAGTTCAACCACAGAAATTTAAGAGTAGAATTAGAAACAGGTAATCTTAAAGATTATATTTTATCTAGATTAACTATCGTGTACAATGCAATGCCTGGTAACAGAGAAATGCTATCATGGAATTCTACAAATTAAAAACACTAGAAATACAAATCGTGTGAAAAATACATAGCATGTTAGTAGTCAGAGTAAAAGAGTGGAAATAAGAAGTTATACTAAATTTTATTGATACTTATATATAATCATTTTGAGAGAAATGTATTCAACATTTTAAACGGAATTTATTAACTATTATGTCATCTACGAAGAGAACAAAAACCAAGAAAACTTGAACCTGTTTGGTTTTTAAGTTGTACATTGTAATGATCTAAAATCCAAGTTGAATGATCTAAAATCCAAGTTAAAACTGATGACTTACCTTAGATGTATTAAAAAGCCCCCTGGGAAGTAGCTACAATCAGCTCCAGCTCTATCAGACACACAGTGTTTCAAACTTTCCCCTTACTTGAAGAATGAGTGAAGGATTTGGGGCTTCAGGCTTCAGAGACTATGCCTGGAAGAAAAGGCTCTCACGCGTTTGGCCTTGTCTCATGTTTCATCCTCTCGTATTAGCAACAGGCGTATCTAATTTTACTCAGTGACATAAACAGCTCGTACCACACTTAAAATTGTTTGGGCACCAATTCCAGGACACAGCTCTAAGTGGGCCAAAAAAAAAAAAAAATTCTTACAAAACCAACATTTAAATCCTGAATCATGATAGTCTTATGTAATTATAACTTTCTAAAATAAACTTACCTTAAACCTTAAGCGAATAGCACAAACCAGACTAGTTTCCAGTAGAATTTAATGTTGACAAAATCTCTTGGCAATCATTTCAAATTAACATGCAACATTTAGAAGTTGTGACTTTATTAGTATTAAATGTATACTACTCTCATTCATGTGAAATGCACATTATCATATAATAGTCACTCCTTAAAAATCACTTTTTTTAAGCCTCTTTTTAAGTGAAAAACTTTAATATTTGAGAAGAAAACCTTAGGGAATGATCATCCTAATAAAAAGAAGGTAAATAAATTCTGCCCGTTAAAATTACGACAGTTCTTTCCCAGTAAATTAAATTTATATTATGTTTAACAAAGGATGTGAATGTAACAATGCAGTCTTGATGTTTTATCTTTATTCATTTTCATAAGATGTAGAAATATCAAGCTTTTAAAATAATCTTTTATTTTGCATTATTTTTATATATAGCCTGGTAAGCAGCATGAATTAACACAGATTAAATTATATATTTGAAATTTGTATTTTAGCACTAAACCTTGAATAGGAGAAGCAGTGCAATGATAATCCACATGCTTACTATTTCTTTTCTTTTCTTCTCAGGAGACCTTTTCTCTTATTCTATTTATTCATAACTCTAACTTCGACATTTGATGCTTCTCATACCAACAGCTGCAGGCCTTAAATTAAAAGCTGATATAGCTTCAACTAATCACACATTTATTTATAAGACTTTAAAAAATCTTTCATGAACTCTCTGCACATTACAATTTTCTCTGACACAGCAATTTAGACATAAAATTACAGCACAACACAACTATCTCATATATATATATATATACATATATATACATACATATAAATACTTAACAATGATGATATGAGATGTATGTTTGTATCAGTTTGTGTCTGAAAAATCAAACTCTGAAACTCCTAACTCAATATTCTGGTTGAAATGTCACACATTTAAAGGTTACATATTGAGGGACCTTTTCAGCAATCAGTAAATTGGTTTTATAACAATGAACTTTTCAATGTTTTGTGGACTGCTTTGTAAAAATGTTACTCAAGTTATGGATTTGATCTCCATTCACATCTACAGATTCATTTAATACTACCAACTTTTCTTTTCAGTCCTTCAGGAGGAGGGCTTAGAGAAAAACATCCTTCATTTTATAGAATAGTTGAAATTATTAAAACAAGATCTTCAAAGTTTTTTTAAATTTTTTAATTGTTATGTTAATCACCATACATTACATCATTAGTTTTTGATGTAGTGTTCCATGATTCATTGTTTGTGATAACACCCAGTGCTCCACGCAGAATGTGCCCTCTTTAATACCCATCACCAGGCTAACCCATCCCCCCACCCCCCTCCCCTCTAGAACCCTCAGTTTGTTTTTCAGAGTCCATTGTCTCTCATGGTTCGTCTCCCCCTCCGACTTACTGCCCTTCATTCTTCCCCTCCTGCTATCTTCTTCTTCTTTTTTTTTTCTTAACATATATTGCATTGTTTCAGAAGTACAGATCTGTGATTCAACAGTCTTGCACAATTCGCAGCGCTCACCATAGCACATACCCTCCCCAATGTCTATCACCCAGCCACCCCATCCCTGCCACCCCCCACCACTCCAGCAACCCTCTGTTTCCTGAGATTAAGAATTCCTCATATCAGTGAGGTCATATGATACATGTCTTTCTCTGATTGACCTATTTCATAACACCCTCCAGTTCCATCCACGTCGTTGCAAATGGCAAGATCTCATTCCTTTTAAGATCTTCAAAGTTTTTAATGTAAGGTTAGCTTCAGCTTATAACTCACATATACACACCTCAGTGTATATGTTTTCAGTGGAATCATAGCATTTTAAAGCTATAAGAGGCCTTAAAGGAAACCACCTAGTCAAACAGTCCACTGGATGTAAAATAGCTCGCTCAAGGTTACAGAGCTGGTTTGGGCATGGCAAACAAACAAACAGAAACAGTTCTCCATTCCTACAGAGAACAAACTGGTGGTTACCAGAGGGGGGATGGGTGAAAAAGGTACAGGGGATTAAGAAGTACAAGCTTCCAGTCATAAATAAGTCATGGAGATGAAAAGTACAGCGTAGGGAATATAGTCAGCACTATTGTAATAACGTAGAGCCACAGATGGTGACCACACATCTCTCGGTGAACACTGTGTAATATATACAACTGTTGAACCACTCTGTTGTACACCTAAAACTAATGTAACATTGTGTCAACCATACTTCAATTCAAAAAAGAAAGAAGAAAGTCCTTAGGCTCTTATGTCTTACATAACTATAGGATCCTTCTGGGATTCACCCTTCTCCTTCCCCCTGTAGTCAGTTAGCAATCCTGCCCTCCTACCTCGTTCTGCCTGGGGGCAGACAGTCCTGCTGCCTAAGACACTAGGTTAGAGAGACCACTTTTAGATCTAGTGAAAACAGGGAATTTCTGGTAGAGATATGGTTCGTTTTGAAATGGGAGGTAAGTTTGCCTGAGGAGGGAGGATATAGGAGATGATGGGGGATGAGACAGTTGAAAGTTTGAAAAGAGGAGGGAAGTTGTGAAGAGCTGGGCAGTAAATTTACTAGTGAATATACTAGACAGTGTTTGGACCCAGCTGAAGTTGATCAGTATACAGTGTTCCTATTTTTAATAGTTCCTGTGACTTTGGATACTAACTGTAGATGTGAGCTCCTATGACTAAATCCCCCCACACCACTTCACTCTTTCCTCCCAGACTAAACTCATCATCTCCCAAACCTGCTCTTTTGTTCATCCTTCCTTTCTCAGTTTTTTTTTTTTTAAAGATTTTTTATTTATTTTTTGACAGAGAAGACACAGTGAGAGAGGGAACACAAGCAAAGGGAGTGGGAGAGGGAGAAGCAGGCTTCCCGCGGAGCAAGGAGCCCGATGCGGGGCTCGATCCCAGGACCCTGGGATCATGACCTGAGCCGAAGGCAGACGCTTAACGACTGAGCCACCCAGGCGCCCCCCTTTCTCAGTTTCTGACGCCATCCTCCACAAAGTTACCGCTGACTGATTTGGGAACCTCCCTCACTAACCAGCCGGCCAGTCACTAAGCCGCAGTATCTCCTCCCCTCTGCCTGCTCCCTTCTCTTGGGTGGGTCCCCGTCTGACTGGGGGGCTCACCAGCAGGTGTCTCCTCGTGCTCAGTACCTGTTGGCCTGCTTCCGGGTTCTGCTTCCAGGTTCTGCCACGTTCCATTTTAGACTCCTGGGATTGCCAGAGAAATGCTGAGAACAGGTCATTCTCTCCTCATCACTCCCCAGCCTCAAGACCTCCAACGAGCCTTCAGGATGGGGACCACGTTCTTGACAGGGCACACACACCTTTACGACTGGGCTGTGTCTGTCTCCCATGTCCCCATCCTTTAGGTTTGGTAAGAAACTACATGCCATTGGGTGCCTGGCTAAATATGACAAAGTTACCTCCCATCCTTTTCTTTCTAATGACTATTTAACTTTTAAAAGTCTGTTCATATGTCACTATCAGCTTTCTATATGTATTTATAAACTTATAGTTATTTGTATTTACATTGCCATCATTGCTTTATATACATATTCTCTCTACTAAACTATCAACTGCTTGCTCAGCACCTGAGCCCTCAATTAACTGAACCCTGAATAGTTACACCAAACTCAATGTTTCTTATGCTATCAATTCCACAGCACACCGTAACAACAACAACAACAACAACAACAACAACAAAAAGGCTAACACATGATCGGGATGACATTGTAAGACTTTTCCAGAAGAGGTCAGTATAACAGTAATAAAAGTACTCGCTTTCAGGGCAAATGAAATGCGAAATCAAATTAAAATATTTTGTGAGAGATAAACTTTCAAGCCTTAAAAAATAACCACGTCAATGATCTGCCCTCCAATCAAAGATACAACTTCCTCAAGAGAGATGGCCATAGACCTTTCACATAAGCGAAATGCAATGATTCTCTACACAAATGAAAACACAATAGGTTTAAATCTGGAAAGTAATTAATGTAATCACCTGGATGCTTCTCACCCAAATTCTCTGATTATTCTTAAATAGAGATCATCCAAGTGTATGCATTTTAGAAAGATAATTCATATTCCCTTTGGAGTTGCCGTACAAATAAAAAAATTAAATTGATCACTAGATTACTGAATGTAGGCATTTTGTGTCTTGTGGTACTTTGGGGGAAGTTTAGGAGTCACTGTTTAGTGTAAAGGGCTGATTCAGTGTTGTCAGAGATGACGGCAAAGAAAACAGTGGGATGCTGGCAAAATAAGACTTGAAAAAAAGAAAACTCTAACATTTCAGAAGAGAAAATGGACTACCCGAAATTTCAAAGGTTATTCATTGGTAATCACTGCATTTGGTCATCACAATTTTTTTTAAAGGTTCATTTATTTATCTTAGAGAGAGCGAGGGGGGAGGGGAGGGGCACAGGGAGGGGGAGAGAGAGACCCAAGCAGACCCTTCACTCAGTGTGGAGCCCAATGCAGGGATCATGGGCTTGATCCCACCACCCGGAGATCACAACCTGAGCTGAAATCAAGGGTTGGAAGCTCAACTGACTGAGCCACCCACGCGCCCCACTGCCTGCCACTCCTATCTCTAACCCTCTGTAGTTACCCTGTACTTTTTGTAC